TAATATTATTAAGATAATATTTTAGGTCGTAGATGTTAAACCTCTTGCCCAGCGCTATGATGACAAATGCCTTGCTTTAAGGCCTATACCATTCATTAAATTCCTCTTGTGTAATAGGAACTTTAAGATATGACTGTTTTAACTAATTGATTCCACCTAAAGCTTCTAGGAGAGCCTAATTGATTTCATCATCATTAAGAAGAAAATCTTCATCTTGAACAAGTTTTCCACTATTTGCAACTCCATTATAACTTAACAAAGGATCTCTATAAGATGCTTGCTTTTGTTCTTGCTTATAATCTGTTACCTCTTTGTTACTATCCTCTTGAGTCACAGAAGGAGAGTCACTAGCAGTTTTGGAAGCCCCTAGCATGGAGTTATCCATAAGAGCATCCTTGATGTGAACTTTAGCTTTGTCCATGAGCTTTTTTCTTTTGAATTTAGTGGAGAATTGTCCGATGGCTTGTTCGAAGGAATTTTTCAGTGGCTTTGATCATCCATGAGGAAGAAACACATGCTAGCATGAAACCAAGAGAGAGCAAAACCTAAACTTTATGGAAACTCTCACAAGATGAACACAAATCTAACTAACCAAAAGAAGGGGAGAGGAAGAGGGGAAAAAACCTTGGTTTGGTCACGTGTGTTTTGCTATAATATGTAAACATAATATTTATAATTATAATTATAATATTTAATATCCATCGTATTTATGATTGAAGTTATATATCTAGAATTTTAAATTTGGTAGGGATAGATTAGTATTAATATACTTATTCCAATTGCTTAGGTAGAGACATTTCACTAGAACACTCAATTCTTGCTGGTGAGATCCTAAAACATCAATGCATTGACCTCTGCCCTTCTTTTTATTATCCATTATCCTATCATCCTTCTTCATCATGCACTTGCCAACTACAAAACACAAGTTAAATTCAAGTTTTTCTCTTCTGCGTCTGCGTTTCAACTTCCAACTGTACTCTTTTTGGCCTCTATAAAACAATTTCAAACAAATTATACTCTTATAAATAACTTCATGTGATTTGACCTAAAAAAAACTTCCTTTAATATACTTCCAAAGATAAAAAAATTATAAAATAAAAAATAAGTCTCATATACATGCTTTCATTATTTTAAACTGCCTAATTATCAGCAATGTTATTAGAAAACATAAATAACTAGTAAATGCATTGATAAAAAATAAGGACGGTAACAATTATGATTTTGTTTAAATTATGAGAACAAAAAAATAAATGTTTTAAAAGTCGGATGTTAAACTGAAAAGTCAACAAATCTTGTTTTTATAATATAACTAATTAAACCAACAATTGAATAGTTGACATCAGAATTAAATACAAATAATATTAAATGCATATAATGTATATATGTGCATGAGCATACGTGCGTAACAAATTCACATTTTATAACTTGTTAAAGATAAGTGAAACTTAACTAAATCATATATGACTAGGCTCAACAATATATTTGCACTTGCACTTGCGCTTACATAATTGAATTTTTTTAATAGGGCTAATTCTTGAATTTTTAAAAAGGTCCTAAATCATATTATATAATTGTTATGGGTCCAAAAATGAAATTTTTTTAATAGGGCTAATTATTGAATTTTTAATTTTTTAAATTTAGCCTTTTTTATATTAGGTTTAAATTTGCCTATTTTATAAAAAATGTTTCAATTTTCAACTCATACACTAGTTTTAAGACCAATGGCAACTCAACTTTAGTCTAACTTGGCTCAATTATAAAAATAATTTTCTAATCCAAATTGAGCTGTCAATGCTCTAATCTATAATCTAATCAATATGATTGTCTAGTCTTATTCTTAAACAATAAAAAAAACCATTTGAAAAATGTTTGTTGATCTCGCTTGAAATTGATTGTACTTGAATCTAATTTTGATAAGGTTAAATGATAGATTCGTCTTTAAACTATAGATTTTTGAGTGTCTAATTCCTTTTATGTAATTTTATTGATCATTTTTTGTAATTTTTGGATTATTGTCTATGATTTTGAGGTATTTTTTATGTAATTTTTTGGATAATTAACAATTAAAGACAATTTTTACTAACGGTATGGGTGACATTGTATCGTTTTCAAAAATTAAAGAGAAATATTATACAAAAAATAGGTCCGTGGTCTCAAACGTTGCTAGATCTATAATTAAATTGTTCTTTGAACCATTTGATAATAATAACAAGGGTTAAATGATAAATTTTCCTTTTAACTATAGGTTTAGGAATGTATAGGATTGTAAACTCAGTTTTTATGCAATATTCTTCGTCAACATTTTAAAATAGTGCAATATTGCCTCTATCGTTAATAAATGCTAACTTTGATTATTAATTGACTATAAAAATATAACAAATGACATTAAAAATTACATAAAAGGATGAAAAATTTTCTTGATTATTTTATGATTTTTTAGGCCTCTCTATAATTTTTAGGCCTTTTTTTATATTCTTTTTTTTGTGAAATTTTAAGTTTTTTTGTAATTTTGTAGTTAATTAACAGTTAAAATTAATTTTTATCAATAGTGAGAATAACTTTGCATTGTTTTTAAAAGTTAAAAAAATATTACATTAAACATCAATTTAGGGTTTCAAATGCTCTTCGAATTGTCTTTTTAACTTTAATAAAAAAAATTAACAAAAAAATAATAACAAGAAAAAGGTGTAAGGCATAATTGTCCTAATGGTATAATAAGATGTCAGGTTGACCACAACGGTGGATTACACATGAAAATTAGGATGACGTCTAGTTATAGCTACCAATTGTTTATACTTTTGAGTACATAACCACCTTCTAGAGTCGATATTTTGAATCAAGCTCGAATAAATTCACAAAATTTTAGAGTTGAATTTAAAAATTTAGTAAAATATCAATACTTAAGCCTTTGGGCTTATTTGAACCACCTTAATAAAGGGGTCAGCCTTGAATCTTGAATACCTTTTTATTTTTATTTTTATTTTTTGAAAAATCAATGCTAAAGTGACATTCGACATGAGCTAGTATCTTGCTTGGTCCTTGCTCCTTAGAGTCTTTCCCTTTTGGTCTCAATCTTATCGTAGCGTCTTGATCTGTCTCGCCCCTCCTTCCCCTCCTCTTCTTTTTACTCGCCGTGTTTATTCATAGTTCATACCTTCTTTAATTGACAGACCCACAGGCTCAGGCTTTGTCTTCATCTGCCTTCAGTCTTCTCCTTTCTTCTTAGCTTGCCCAGTTCATTTAGACTTTAGATCTATTTAGGAAGTAAGAACCCGTAAGCTTAAATCCAAAGTTAGATCTCTATTAGTGGCATTTCCTCTGCCTTCATTCTTCTCTTCTTCATTAGTTCATCTCTAGAGGACCAGCGTCCAATCTCCAAACTAACTAGATAGAAAAATAGAAATTGAGTTTTTTTTAAATGACAAGTTATCGAATTGAGCTCAACATCAAGAAAGACGATAGATTCTGCTCAAGAATATCAATGCTCTTTCTTCTTTCTACTGCACCGTCTCCTTCTTCTTCATTTTAACTATGTTGAGAAATATCCATTAGAAATTTAGAATGAAGTGTTTAATTAAAACACATCTCCAGCAACATATCAACTCTTAAATTATAGAGTGTATTTGCTTGATAGATTTTAATTTTCAAGTTAAAAATTTTATTTGGTTTAAAAAAGAGAAAAAAAATCAATTTTAAAAAAATTTAGGTATTTAGGGTGGCCCGACCAAGCTCGAAACCTAAGGATATTAAGGTCGAACTTGGTTGTACGAGTTTTTTTTATAAGCTCGACCCGAAATAAGTTTAACTTGAAAAAGTTGGGCAACCTAAATTGCCAACTCTACTTTATTCCTATTTTCTCCTAATTTCAATATTTTCACATGCTCTTGTTTTTTGGTAATTAAATATAAAGAGAAAATATCACCTAAGGATCCTTGTAGAATTTTAACAGTAAACAATGACCTTGTGATCCTAAAATATTATTGCACCCTCTGGGAACTTGATAGTAAAAGGAAAAAAGACTTGATACCCCTATTAAGTTAACAAAAAATATAGTTGAACGAATGTCCATTTATTACTAATGTATGGGTATTTGTTTATATATGAATGGTTGTTTATTTATTAAATACTAACATCTGTGCAATTAAAATTATAGGACAAGTTTAGTCGTATAAGTGTTAAAACTAATATGAAAAGTTCACTTGTATGGGTGTTGGTACTGAACAATCAAGCAACGATTCATTGATAAACGGCTTAAAAAATTGATAGGATGTGTGATAATTGTGCAAGAGCGGCTCCTCAAGGAATAAGCAACTATTTGGGTATTGATAAAAAATCGTACATTAGTAACATGCAGACATTTGATTAGACGTATTTCCCATTCTGCTACGTTTCTAAGGGTAGTCTGGTCTTTTTCCCTATAAATCTGATTTTCAAGAATTATAAGCTCCTTAATAAATGCTTTTAATTTGTGCTCCTCAATTGACTTTCCATTCTTTGTCTCAGTCCACGCGGCCTGACTCTGTCAAATGTCAATTTCTATGTCCCTAATGGGCTTGGGCCCAAATTGTACCTCGTAGATCTTCTTAACTTCATTTCTTTCTCGTAGAGCCCGTTTCACTCCCACCATCACGCTAATTTATCCATAATATCACCGCCCGACCTGACAAGTTTTTGGGTCGGGGAATTTTTTTTATTATATTCAGATTTCATACAAAAAAATTTAATAAAAATATTATAAATTTTATAAAATATTTTTAATTTTAAATCTTACATTTTTTTTTTGGACAGAGAGTTTTAAATCTTACATATTAATAACTTAATTAAAGATTCAATTATTAATTTAAGAGTATTTTAAAAAATTTATATATAAATTTTTTATAATAAACTTCTTTTTATAAATATAATTTGAGATTTGAACATATTTTATCAAATTTGCGAGGCTTTTTTGAAAATAAATTTCCTCCACAGCACCTGAATGCAATTTTCAAAAAAAAAAAAAAAAACAGAGAAAAAAGGGGAGGTGGGGGAGGCAACGTTCGTGAGGTGTTTCAAAGGCGTTCCAATCTGTCTGCATTTCCCTCTCGAGGGAACTTTGATTGAGCGTCAATGGGGTTATTCACTGGACTCTAATCCGCATTGTTTCGCAGTCCCGGATTTTATTGCTACCTTCCACTTGGATTTTTCGACAAATTCTTCCCTGGCACCGTTTGGACAGTGTGTTGAAAATGGATAGGAGACTCAACGGACCCACCGGTGGCGCCGCCAGCACTAAATCTTCTACAACTACTTTGCAACCAAACTACGGCAACCAATCCGTTCAGGTAACTGTCCGTTCAATTTCATGTATAGCGTTTTTGGAGCTACCGAGTAAACCCTAGCTGTCGCCGTTTCAACCACAAATTGGTTTTCTTAACTTAATTGTGTAGCTTAGTTCATATTGGATCTTGAGGTCAATTTATAATGCACGGAACATGATCAGAGCGTTAAGGCCTGATATTCCAAAATTCTGATAGGAGTAACGGACTTGTATGTTTTCTGTGGACATTCTTTTTCGATGTTAGGGTGGATTGACGTTTTTTTGAAATACTCTCGGATGTTCAAAAAAAGACGATGCAAGTTGGGTAGTCGGATGAATCTAGTAGTTCAAAAGTGTATGCTGCAATCCGAGACTGCTTTAATTATTTTATTGTCTCCGTTGGTGATTGCTGTAACCTACAAAACTAGAGTACATAACAAGTATTCGGTCTATTCATAGCCTCATGAAGTTCTTCGTCCTTAAAGTGTTTGAATTTATCTTGGTAGGAACTTGTTGAGCTGTGATAATAATGATCTATGAAGTGATAGTCGTATTTGGAAAGTACTCAGCAAGTGAATACTTGTCATGTGCTGAACCTATTTATAATATTATGAGGCCCTTGGTCCTCAAAATTTCTGAATTATAACTTTCTTTTCGTCACATGGTTCACTGAATTACCCAAAAATAAGTTTCACAGGGCTGTCATTTTAATCTGAAGCCTGGTCATAGCGTCTTGCCTGTTTAAGCACGAAACATCTTGTAGATGATTTTTTTCCTTTTCATTTTACCCATGAAGTTCTGTCATATACTAACCATCAATAAATACTTATGGCTTCTAACATCTAATTCCAGGAAGCATTGGAACACTTAGCATCCATTGATTTAATTGACTTGTGCAAGGAAGCCAAAATTGAGCGCTGCCGGGCAACTAGAGACTTGAGAAGCTGTGGCCGCTATGTCCACCATTTGTTGAATTCATGTGGGCATGCCTCTCTATGTGCAGAATGTAGTCAAAGGTGTGATATCTGCCCAATTTGTAGAATCCCGGTACCCAAGACTGGCACTAGACTGCGTCAACGTCTTTATTATGAGTGCATTGAAGCTGGTCTTATATCTAAAAGATGTGATGAGAGGTTTCAAGAAATAGAAGACAGGGAGAAACAGCTAACTGCTGATGTCCAACGACTTTATTCTTTGTTTGATGTTGCACTTGAGAATAACTTGGTTTCTCTAATCTGTCACTGTATCCTTTTCTATGCATGCCATCTTTTTTTTATATAACATAGGCAAGCAAAAGCTTGAAAAGAGAAAAACCAAATGGCTAGAATATGCACTAATGGCCATACTGTCTCTCTGTTTTTTTTTTTTTTTAATGCCAGCCCTCTGTTTAGGTATAGAGGTTAATTTTAATTAAATATATTTTGAAGAAGCATCTTTAAATAATTAATGAAACGTATCTAGTTTTTTTATTAATATTATCACCTTAAACTATCATCAATGTTTTGCTTCCCCTCCTACGTGGAGACTGCACATTCCCCTTAACAGAATTTCAACAGACGTGACAGATGTATGTATGGATGAGACTGCAGTTTCGAGCGATCCTGTCATTGCATTTTTGTTGGATGAAGTGGTGGTAAAGGATTGGTGCAAGAGGACATTTGAAAACGTCATATCTGAATTACATGAAATCTGTATCCTGAAGCCTTTTCAGTTGTTGATATTTGAAGCTAATTTTAGTCTGTGCTTTTTGTTGTATTCCCTAAATCTTTATGTTTCTTAACGATTTTTACTAGATAGTCTTGACATTGGAGGAATGATAAATAGATTGAGTTCACTTCTTAAATTTAAATTACACTTGGCTGGAATATCTAATGTACTAGAAGTTTTGGAGTCATCTTTCAAGGGCACTGTCTCAGCACAACTTAATGATCTGCACAATCTCCAGGAGAGTGTATCAAAGACAAAGCAGGTCTAGTTGCTTGCAAAATTTTGCATTCAGTGGAGTGATTGCATAACTATTCATGAGATTACTTTATTAATTGTTTTCCCCCTTCCCAATGACACAAAATCAAGAATTTGGTTGATGAATATTGTTAATGTTTTTTTCTAACTTTTGTTTTTAACATATTTTATCCTTAATCTTGAAAAGTATGGATGACAATTATATATTCAATGCAAGGTGGCTTTGGTTGCATCCCAAATCATGGAAAGAGTGAATTAACTATTTAAATGCTATTATTGCTGGATAATTTTAATTTAGCTTGACACATATAACATGGACTTAAGCGGTCGATATTTTGCCCTTAATCTTACTATTTCATTGATTGTGACCTATTAAGTGTGTAATGGTCATACTCTACCTCTATCTGTCTACCCCTCCCATAATTATGGTAGTTATCAGGAGGTCATGTAAATTAGCTGACTGCAATCTACATTCTAGTGACTAATTCGTATTGTGTTGTTCCTTCCAGCATCTGGAGATTATTATTTGGTGTACAAGACATGAATTTTTGGAGCTTGTGAGATCTCGTTTTGCTGATATTTCATCATGGGCTTCAGATGTACGTGAACGGAAATCAGCGGCAATCAGGCGTGCTTGGCCCAATGCAATAAGTCCACCTGGGGAATCAACATGGCAGGATGGTTCTTTATTTATTGAAGATGCATTAAATAATCTTGAATTAGAGGAGGGTTTGATAAAGGACATTGGAGAGGGTTTGACAGTTGCTTCCTTGCAGAAGGATGGTACATCAATTTTCATGGCTAATGCTGATGGGGTACTGGGTTGCTATCCCTTCAAAAATCTTCGAGCTGCTGCTGACTTACTCTTTTTGCGTGGTAGTTCTGATATGGTGATCGCAAAGCAAGCCATTGTATCCTTTTCCTCTTACTTTTTCCTGTGTCATGAGTTCTCAATGGTTGCCATTATTTAGAGTATTGCTTGATTAGTTTCCTTAATTTCTATAGTTTCTGTATTATTTGTATGATCGCCACTGGTCAATTCCAGATGAAGAATGGAGAGAAATAGTGGAGGACTTTGCAGCTACCTTTAGAATTAGTAGGCACTCGTTATTGGAGTCTTTAATATTCTATCTTCTAGATGATCACACGGAAGAGGCTTTACAGGTAACTTGCATATATTACTATGCTCGTTGAGTCCGGATGATGGTTTTGTCTTGGCCTCAAATAAATTCTTATATTAAGTTGATCCGTTGGTTTCTTTTGACTTGAATGATCAATGTCCTATTTTTCTTGATACTGTTTTATATTAAAACTTCCCTTTTGACCTTGAAACAAGAGTGGTTAGAAGAAGTGTTCGGTTTCAAGTCGTATAATATTATATTTACGTGCTTAATGTTTTGAGTCCTTTCTTTTTTATTAATGATCCAATATCTGGGATGCTTTGTAAGCTTTAAAAAGTATTTAGGCAAAGTACGGAGAACCCCCTTCCCAAATAGATAGAAGTTTTTTCCATCTTGATACTTGTTTTTTGGATGTCAATGTGGACTCTTCTTTGCCTTTAAGAGTAACATAATTTGTTATCCTATTAGGAAGCTTGTCGCCTTCTTCCTGAAATTTCTGGCCCAGCATCACATCCTAAAATTGCTGAAGTTCTGTTGGAAAGGAATAGTCCTGATACAGCTCTTATGGTTTTAAGGTGGGCTGGCCGTGATGGTGGATCACAGTTGATTTCGCTTCAAGATGCTGTGACTGCAGTGAGGGTGAGGGTTGAGTGTGGACTTCTGACTGAAGCTTTTATGCATCAGAGACTGCTCTACACCAGAGTGAAGGAAACAAAATTTATGCATGGAGTAGCTGGGGATACTTTGGACAAACTAAAAGGTCAATATGGCAGTTGGCTGGAGTGGGTCGAGGCCTTGGTGACTGAGATTTGTTGGCTCTGTATCAGGAGGAGCTGGGTTGACCGAATGATAGAGTTGCCATGGAATTCTGATGAAGAGAAATATATACACAAGTGCCTCTTGGATTATGCTGTTAAAGACCCCCTTAAGACTACTGGAAGTCTTCTTGTTGTGTTCTATATTCAAGTAAGCCATTCAAATAGCTGTTTCAGCAACCAAGATTGATGCTACTGATTTTTTGATAATGTTTAGCTGTCTAGCTGTCTTGAGTTCTTTTGATTGTTGCACCTTTGCAATTCTGCCTATGTCTATCTCAGTTAAAACTTAAAAGTTGTGCATGTCACGCTTCAATTATTAATGTTCACCCAATCTGATAATTGTGGCCTTAATTGAAATGTAATTCCACATCCACCATCACTATTGTCCACTGTTTCCATATTTTGCTTGCTCAATATTAACATCCTCTCTGATGGGCATAAAAGATGGAGTTAGTTTTATTCTTTCCTGTCAAACTTATTGATGCAGGAGAAGTGTTTTCACCTCTTAACTAGTGATTCCTTTTCTGGAATCAGAGCCTATATAAGCTTAGTTTGGCACTTGCCTATGGGATTGCTTTTTAATAGTCCTTGGTGCCCTTGTGCTTGTCTCATCATGTCATCTTTGGAGCAAAAATAAGTGAATATGAATGACAAAATCTTGTCTTTGCCTCTCATGCATAAATATCATATGTGGTTTGCAATTTTTTTCAGCAGTGGGTCATAATTTGCTCAGTACTTGGATTAACCTGAAAGTTGATGTGAGTTGTATCTTTCCTTTTGAGCCACCATTTTTGTTGCAAATGAAAATATACTGCTATAATCTTCTTAAAATGTTTCTTGGCATTTGAGAATAAGTATGAAACAATTTTCTGGCAATTAAAAATAAAAAAATGTCCTTGTTCTCTGCAGCGCTACAGATATGCTGAAGCGTACCAAGTTCATCTTAAACTTGAAAAGGTAGAGCAAGCGTCAATTTCAGAAGTTTCTTTTGGAGAAGAAGCTCTATCTAGAATAAGGACACTCAGTCAATGGAGAGCTAATTTGGTTGTAAGTGATTTATGTGGTATTTTCTATTCGTATTTTGTTTTGTAGTATTTGGCCTTTGGAGCACGGCAAACATCAGTTAATTTTCAATTGGAGTGCCCAGAATCACAAATTCCTTGATCAACATTCCATGAAAAATAAATGCTTAGTGATGAGAATTTTGAGGGGAAACAATGTCTTAATTGACATTTTACTTTTTGAAATTGACAGAAACCTTCATGTAAATGAAATTTAATTGCCCAAAATAAATAGGAGTGTGTGTCACACTGGATATATCATTGATTACTGCTATATCTTATTTTACTTTTTGAATGCATGAAAGGAAAGCTTAGGACGTTACCCAAATATTGCTTAAATACAAAAACGCAATAGTTAGGTAGAATTAAATAACAATCGTTGTGGCGGGCCTACTTTCTGTATATGTTCTCTGTCATCTGTGTTCTCTATCTTTGTTCCCTTTTTAGAGCTTTTTCCCTTTTAATAAATTTGTTTACACATGAAAAGAATTCGAGAAGATAGAGGTAGTTCTGTCAAGATTAGTCAAAGCAAATTAATAGATGACATGATATGTTTTGTTTCACAATAGAAACTCCTAGATTTGCTGAACCAACAAAGCATGCAGAGTGTCAGATGCAGCATGCATTTGTGCTCATATGACGCAGATTTATGAAATATTGAGCTGCTGGGATATACAGGATAGATGCTTGGAGTTGTTGCCTGAAGTTAAGCAGCGACAACTGAGGAGTGGAAATTTCACTGAAGGTGCTGCTACCGCTGATGTAGAAGTTGAAAGTCCATCTAAATCTGATGTTCCTCAGATACAGGACTCCAGGCTGACTAGTTTATTGGTCCCCTTATCTGCTAATTCTACCCATGTGTTGGGTGTGGACAATGCAATCGGCTTGTTGCGGTCATCAACTTATGAGACTCCAACAAAAGTTGGCCAGGCTTTCTCCAGTATCAACCCTGAGCTTGGTAGATTTGGTTCTGCATCATCACATGAATGGTTATTAACCAACAGTGAGAGGAGGCCAAAATATCGAAGTAGCACTGGCAAAAGTTTCAGATATGATGCTGTAACTCAACGAAATCACAGGATTCATTCCATTAATGGTTCACCTGTAAGGGGATATAGCAGAACATCGCCAAGTAATTCCCAAGACAGCATGCAGGATAAAATCTCACCCGGAGATGGATGGAATCAGTTTCTTGGTCATAATTCAAACGGCAGTCCCATGTATCCCTGGAAAGCTGCAGCTAATGCTGTTACTATATCTGCTGTCGGTGATTCTACAGAATTTGTGAATGACCTGCTTATGTCCAGCAGAAAATTTCAATCACAGAGAGATGATAGAAATTGGAGCACAGCTGCCTCTGATGATCCAATGGATGTTTCTTTGAGGTAAGGATCTAGTTACATGATTCTCCTTCTGCTCACTTCCTTTTCTTTTCTTTTTTTTTTTCCTTGCCCCTTGTAAAAAGAAAAAAGAAAAAGTTTAGATGAGTTGCGATCCATAAATTTTAATTTTGTTTTAAAGATGCTTGTGGGAGTTGTTCTTATTCTTTTTAAGATTTTCTCATAAAAGGTTAAGTAAATGTAGTGACAGCAATTTTTTTTTTTTTTTGGTGTATTTTGTTCTTTCAGCCATATGGAAGGCAGCTTATCTATTGAAAAAAGCAACACCAATGGTGGACCAAGGTGGAGGTCGGATGAAGAAACTGGTGACGAGGAAGAAGAGAAGATTCTAGAAAGAGCTATGGGGATAGCTTATCATGCAACTTCAACTAGGAAAACCAGACGTAGCAGATTTACCAAGAGATGAGCGCGACTCTTACTTGGTACGAGTCTGGAAATTATCTGGAAATGAATAGGTAACATTCTTGTTGAAAGAGCTGTTTTAGGATGAGAGTTGTACCTTTTTGGAAGGTGGAAATTTTCAAGTTTACGACTACACTGGTCATAGTTGTGTACCTGATATTCAGAGAAGGAAATATTAATTTTGAAGGTCCATTTCCTTCCCATTTCCAATGTTGTTCATCAAAGTAATGTAGATTTACTGATAATATTTTGAGCGAATTCAAAGCGGAGGTGTCTGAGTGAGTTTTACTTCGTCATCTGTCTAATGACCCAAAGATATGATGATTGAACATTTAAGATCCATTTGGTTCTTTTGCTTTTCACGTTCAAAAAGCAAAATTTTACTTTCAGGAAGTCGAAAGTTATTTGGATAAAATATTTTACAGAAAAGTACATTTTGAACGTACATTTAAATAGTAGTTGAAAGTGAATTTTTAAAACGTAACCATTTAAAATTTTTAAAAAGTGAATTTAAAAAATAGGATATTATTTAATTATATTATTTCAAATTTAATCTCTTATTCTTTTATTTAAAAAATAGTTGATTCATTAAAAATATAATTATTATTTCAATAATAATGATTAGGTATCAAGTTTTTAGCATTATAAATTGAGTAATTAATCATGTTATTTTTTAGCATTAATGCATAGTAAAAATTACAAATCTTTATCACATTTTTTAAAATTACAAATTAAAAAATATAAATAATTAGAGATTAAATTTTTAACATTATAGATCAAAATTTATGTTGTTTAAAATTTTTATCACATTTTTTAAATATTTTAAATATATTAAATTTGTATGATAAAAATTATAAATCATCATAAATTAATGTCTTTTTTGATAATTGTACATTCAAAAGCATATTTCACTATTACAAATCAAACAACTTTTAATATATCAAACTGACTTTTAAAAAAAATATATTCAAATACAAATTTTGTTATAATAACTGACTTTAATTAAATTGATTTTTATTAAATAAATTTTTATTAAATAAATTTTTGACAAGTTGAAAATCAAATACACACTTATTGTGTACCCTTGGTCACTTGTTGGATCCTGGACGTCACTTCTGTAGGCCCTTTTATATTTTTGTAGCTAATCTTGATATGCAATGCCAGATAACGAATAAGCTTGCTAAAATCCAATATTTGGTGTAGGGTTTTCAGAAACTTGACTTTTGATGGTGAACGAGCTTCTCCAGCGGTGGTTACTGCGCGAGATCAGCAAACAAAATGTTAGCTAACTTTTCAGGTTTCTTGCAATTGCTATTCTGTTTTTTTTTTTTGGTCATCTGTGCAATTCCTTTTTTTTAAAAAAAATGATTTTTTAATTATTTAATTTTTAATTCATCTGTAACTCATTTTCTCAATTATAACTCACCGTAACTTAGTCTCTCAACTATGACTCACTATGATTTAATCTCTCAACTTTTGTTTCACTTATAACTCGATCCTTATTTTTTAATTTTTTTTAAAAAATTCTTATCAAATAAAAAGGATAAAAAATGTTCATATTTTATTTTAAAATACTCTCATCTTGCTTTTTGATATGAGATTTAAATTATCATAAAAAAACAAAGCTAACAAAAGTTGAGGGAGTGGATTAAAAGTGAGTTAAAAGTTGAGGGATTGAGTTATAGAAGTTATAATTAAGAAAATTAGTTACAGTAAGTCATAATTGAGGGACTGAAGTACGAGTAAGTTAAAAAATAGAGGACTAAAAAAATAATTTTTTCCTCTTTCCAACACTTAAAACATGTCTTTTTTAATTATTATCATGTATCGCTTCTCAAGCAATCACGAGTTTTTATTAGTTAGGTACAAGGATCTAAATTAAATGACGGGAGCACATCCTGCACCCATCATCGGCTCATCACCCTTAAACGAATCTGGATCGTTTAAATTTAAATATCTTTTTTATTTTTTTATTTTTAAAATAAAAATTTATAAAATTTTAAATAAATATATTTATTATTAACATATATCATTTATACTTAATTAGATGGATCTAAATTTTATTAATTTTTTTATAATTTTTTATAAATTGACTATACAGATTTAGTTTGTACTGTTTAGATTTAAAATTTTTAACTTGTTATATTTATTAAATTTAAAACAATTCAGAATAAATCTGTATTGTTAATTTATAAAAATTATAAAAATTAAATTTAAATTTAAACTAATCTAATTAAATATGAATGATACATATTAATAATAAAATATATTTATTTAAAATTTTATAATTTTTTATTTTTAAAAATAAAAAAATAATTAAATTCAAACGGTCCAAATTTGTTCAAGGTGATGAGCATCGAATGTGCTTCCGTTGAATGACACTAGCTTGAGAGGAGTCTGTCATCCTTCACCTGTGCGGCACACCTACCCCGATGAGTGGACGGGGGAATTGAAAGGGATTAACATATGATTTATCTTGGTTTAGTTCAGTTATATTCACTACGTTCAGCTTCCTTTTCTTTTTCTTTCTGATATTTCCCACTAATTTTGTAAGATTGAATTATGTTTCTTATGCCTATTCAAATACAAGCCTCACTCACAGCCTTAAATTAGTAATAATTTAGGCCCTCTTTGCACACTAAAATAAATATAATAAAATGGATTGAAAAAATAAAAATAAAAATAAGATGATTAGAGAGGATAGGTAAGTGCATTTATAAGGAGGGAGGTAATTTAATTCATAAAATTAAGAATCATAATTTATGATATTTTTAAAAGTATAATAATTTTTATATTTGTAGTATATATTAGTGAGTTTTATTATACTTATTATGAGGGAAAGAGTGGTTTAGTTAATTTTTATTTTATTTTTTTAATTTATTTTATTTTAATAAGCAAATGAGAACTTATTTTTCCTCGTGAGAGAATTTAATTTCCACTTAAAGGTTGATTATCTTTTTTCTTCACAAAAATATCATTAAAGAATCCTAAAAGCACCTTTTGTGAATGTGAAGACAGATAAATTTTGAAATATCATAAGAGACATTTTTTTTTAACCAACATCATAAGGGCTTAATTGCAATTTTTCTCATTCAATCATTAAAATGTCGTTCATTTATTTTTTTTAAATACCTAATTTATTCTCCTCCACCCCTATAAGGCAGCATGGCTGAGTGGTAAATTTCAGGGAAATTCATATTCAAGGATATATGAAAAATGTTATTCACAAATAAAAAATAATAAAAAATAAATTATTATTAAAATTCAAATATTTTTTTTTAAACAAATGGTGACTTGTTATTAGTTTTTGTTTGCAAATAACATGTTTTCACAGATCTTTGGATGCGATTTTTTTTAAACTTTAATTTGTTATCAGTCTAATTCTTTATCTTTGAGTATGCTCCTGAAAAAAAGGGGAATACACTTCAAGTCTTTGGGAGTAAATTCACAATTAAAACACAAAATAGTTGAAAGCTTTTTAATGAGGCATGGATTTTTTTTTTTTTTGGGGCCAAAGGTATTAATAAGGCATGGCTGGGAACTACATTTTCAGAACTTGATATTCAGATATCTAATTTTCTAATGCTTAAACAATTCTCATGTAGAAATAAATTTAACGAGTTTATATAGCATTGGAAGCAATTGAAATCTGTAAACATGTATAACAATTGAAATCTCATTTGAAAGAGTTAATTAATGGCTTAATCATTCCTTAGGCTATATCCCTGTTCCTAATTAGTAGATTTAATTACTCATGAAGGATAAAATAGACATTAAAACAAAGCTAAAATCTCAAATGGTCAAAGATAATGGGAAAATGACAAAAAAAAAAAAAATCCCTCCAAATATGCACATGGCAATAAGGTCTCATAAAATGCTATAATTATTTTCAAATCTCTATAAACCTTTATAATATTAATGATTTTGAGTGAAACGATTAGAATATTCTCAATTTAAAATAAAAATAAATATCAGTAATTATTTTAGTTTAAGTAATAATTACTTTTATTCTGGTAATGATTATAATAGAACAAACAATTATAACTTTTCTTGTACAAATTACAACTTCATTGAATTGAAAATTTGTATAGAAAAAATTATAATTACTTGTTTCATTTTAGTCATTGTCACAATAAAGATAGTCATTGCTTAAATTAAAATAATTATAGATACTTACAACACTTTGAATTTAATGAATATAAAATTTTCACAAAGAAAAGTTGTAATCGTTTCATTCTATTTATTGCAAAAAAAAAAAAGTCATTCCTTAAACTAAAATAATTATTAATATTTATTTTTTATTTTAAATTGTGGGTATTTTAGTCATTTTATAAAAAATAATCAATATCAAAAAGTCCCTGAGGACTTGAAAACAATACTAACATTTTGTGGAATCTCATTATCATTTAAATATTTTGAAATAAAAAATTATGTGATCTTCCCAAAAGATAAAGGATAAAAGAAAAGAAATCTTCATATAAAAAGATAAATCTTGAAGCACTCTTCACTTAAATCCTTGGACCAGGTTTCATGAGTCCAAACTCTCTTCATTTATCCATGAGAAGATAAAATCAATTCTTGAATGAAACTAATATTCATGTATTGTTTGGAGTTTAAGTTGTCCAGAATTTAAGACAAATGGTACCATTCGTGAGTCATGACTCACTTCTCGTGTAACATATATTGATGTTGATTTTTCTGAATTATTTGGAAAAATTATTTCCTTATTTGTATATTTATAATAATTAAATTATTTAAAATGATGCACTTCTTTCATAAATTAAGCCAAGTTAAGCTCAATGTTCCATTGGCCATGAAAAGGGCAAAGAGAAATAAAATACGAAAATAAAATTGCATATAATATTATGCATTATTTTTAAATAAAGACTTAAAATGATTTTTATTTTTATTTTATATTTAATATTTGCATAAAAAAGATTAGCTTATTTGCCAAAAAAAAAGAAGAAGCTAAGTTGGAGGAATCTCCATGCCACGTAGAGTCTCTCTACACATATTCAAAGCTGGATTTCATTTTTTATCCATATTTGTTTTTTTCTTCTTCTCTTGATGACGCCGTCTCCATCGTTCGATTTTTTCCTGGTTGATTGTCCTTCTTCTTCTATTTTTCTTGGCTTTCTATTTGGTGGGAGAAAAAGCTCATTCGTCTTTTGTCCTTCATTGACTTTCTTTTTTTTAGAAAATAAGCCCCGTCGTCCCTTTCTTTTCAAAGAATTAGACATGTGTAAACATTTTTAAATAAAATATCATATATTAATAAATTTTATTAAATATATTTAAAAAATTTATTTTTAAAAAATAAAAATACAACTTTTAAAAATACTGTTCATGATCTTAAATCTATACTTAATTAGTATTAAAAATAATAATATTAAAATAAATATATTTAATAATATTTTAATAATTGGGCTTTTGTAAATATTGCTCATTTTATAAGACCAAAATAAGAAAATAATTCAATATTTATTATATTTTGTGTTATAATTAATTTATAATACTTATCAATAATATATGATTGTATACTAATAATAAATCTCTTGTAAATTTTAAAATTTTTAATAATAAACTTTTTTAAATATTAATATGAACTGATGACATTTTCAAATTTTTAAAATTTAATTCATATTTTTTAAGTATAAGATTTTTTAACAAGTGAATTAATTTATTCTTAATTTTTTAAAATATCTTATATTTAAGATATTAAATTTTTTTTTAAATGTCCATGAAAATTTTAAATTCGGTACGAATGAAAAACTTTACACACTTTATTAATTTACTTAGATAAATTACACAACAGAGACTTTTGCGGTTAGGAGATATCCGCTTTTTATAATCCCAAAGAGATAACAAAAACAAAAATAAAAGGAAAACCTTTGGACTTGCCTCTAAGGGTGCTATGACAGCCTTGAAATGTGTAGTGATTTCACTTTAGAATAGATAGATCAAGCTTTAGATTATTCCATGCTACAATTTTATTTTATTTTATTTTATTTTTTGGGCTATTTGCGATGTGAACTAGGACTGATAGAATGGATATGCATCACAAGTTCATTCACCTTCTTACAGACTTTGTTATTTATTAGCTTCTTCGATGGGATATTTCTCTCCAATTTTCTTAATTGTAGGCTGTATTATATATTTTTTTTCCGCTTTTGGATATCAGTGAGTGTAATGATTTATCAACAGTAATAAAACTGAATCTGTTTTTGTTAGAAAAATTGAAGATGCGGAATTTTAATCAAGAAAAAAGAAAAGTAAGACGTGAATTGGCGGATTTGACGGTAGATTGGAGGTGGCTTGTGGTTCGGTAGATGACTTGTAATCCATGAAAAGTCATGAATTAATAGAGTGTGCATTTGCAATCAAACACGGTCAATTGTCACCGTCCGGCGTCCGCACAAGAAAGGAGTTGTTCAAAGTTGACTGGATAAGGACTGGGTGTTATGTTCAAACCGTGTATAAAATTCCACAATGTTAATGATGAGTAAAATCAACTTCAGTTTCGAAGGTTTATTTTTTTATCTTCCAATTGTTAATTATGCCCCTTCATGCTTTATTATCCTATCACTCATTGATATTTTTACCATTGGTTGGCCTGATCAGCGAAACAAAATCTCAACATAGTGCATGTTTAGTGATTTTTAACGTAAATCTAGTGAGCTCGTTTCAAGTATTATTATCATTGTGATTTTTTTTTTTAAAAAAACTTAAGTGAGGATGGGCTCCATTATATTTCTAGAATTTTCTTTTGGACAATTCATATGCAAATGGTAGCTTGGATTCAGCAAGAGAAGAGATGTGACTATGTGAACAGGTGGACCGATCACATGCCTAAGTGAAGAGCAGAGTGGTAACGCGGCTTGTGATGGTTGAGGCACCAGCCACGTCAACACGCACCATTCCATGATTGGCCAGTGCTTCCGAGGACCATGGGTCTAGACGGCCGCGAAGTATGATATAATTTCCCCGTTTCAATGGTGAACAAGAAACAGATATATGGATTATGGATAGCGTTTCATTATCCGCCGCCTCTGTTTATCCCTGCCAAAACCGAGAGAGAGAGAGAGAGAGAGAGAGAGAGAGAGAGAGAGAGCAACGAACAATTAATACACCACAGAACAACACCATTTCTGTCTGCGCCAACCTATTCTTCGTTTTGTATCACCTGTGGCCCGATATTCTGAAGCTTGAGCTCAAGTCTAGTTTGTTTGTTTGTTTGTTTGATCTGATTTTAGCGGAATCGAAAGCCGTCGGTATGACTCGGCGGTGTTCTCATTGCAGCCACAATGGCCATAACTCAAGGACTTGCCCCAATCGCGGTGTCAAGCTCTTTGGAGTTCGATTGACTGATGGCTCGATCCGGAAGAGTGCTAGTATGAGTAGTCTCAGCCACTATGCTGGGTCAAGCTCCGGAGCTCATCATGCTGGGTCCGTCAATCCGGGTTCGCCTGATGAGACGCCTGATCATGGTGCTGCCGCTGACGGTTACGCCTCCGAGGATTTTGTTCCTGGGTCATCGTCTGTTTCCCGGGAAAGGAAGAAGGGTTCGAATTCGAATGTCTAAGCGTTTATTTTGATTGTTTGTTTGTTTGCCCCCCCCTTTCACTTCGTTTTATTTTCCTTGGGTCTTCGTGGCGGACTCTGCTTTGGAAGTGTTCTTTTAACGTCCTTAGCTTTTGAGTTTCTTAGTCTGCATTTACTATCATGATACACGCTTAATTTTGCTTGCTCTGTCGATTAATACTATATCAATGTGTGATCTGGGAATTTGTCCTGCTGGTAGAACTTGTGAAAATAATTGGGCCACAAAGTTTTCGGTTGACTAAATTTCCAATGGTTTCTGTCTTTTTATGACTGAATCCTGAGAATGCTAGTATAACAAGCTGAGATGCATGGTTTCTAAAATTTAACAACGTTGGATGTTAGAACCGTCCCCAGACATTGCGTTAAATTGCAGCAGGCAGCAGCTCCTATAGCTCATGAAGGTTCCAATTATCCTTATCAGTGTAGAGGCCAAGTTTTCACTGACCTGATCTTTTGAAAAGAGAGGAAATTACTGAGTCCATCCATGTTGGGCGAGAGAATGAATTTCTTATGTAGCATGGAAACACAAAATTCGTGCACCTAAATTTCTATTTTTCCATTGATCACTATGAATGCTGAGATGGTTTTAAGTTATTCATTATTTATGAGGAAACGTGGAATGGAATTTAGTGAATGGCATCTGATACCCACAAATATGCTAGCCTAGAAAACGAGAGCGTGGATTCAATTTTCACTGGTAACCATATTACGTTTGCATAGTCAGATGCTCAATTTTATCTAGATTCCCCCTGTTAATTTTAAAAGAAAACAAGTGAGGTTTTTGTAATTCCATCTTCTTGATGATATTGTGTAGATCTGTCAATGTTTGTTATACTGAAGGCAAGTTACAGAAATCCATTGGTTTATTGTGCATGTTAAACTTTTGTTTCATTGTAGTTTTTTAAATGCAGGTGTTCCGTGGACTGAGGAGGAACATAGATTGTTCTTACTTGGATTGCAGAAGCTTGGCAAAGGTGATTGGCGTGGAATTGCCCGGAATTATGTTATATCAAGGACGCCTACTCAAGTAGCAAGCCATGCTCAGAAATATTTCATCAGGCAAAGCAATGTGTCTAGGAGGAAAAGACGCTCTAGTTTGTTTGACATTGTTGCTGATGAAGTTAGTATCCATGTTTAACCCTAAGATGCATGGTGTAAATGATGCCACACAGCCTATTTCATGGCCATTCATAAGAAAATCTGATCCTTTTTCTTCTCTTGACATGTTTGTCCTGTTCTAACTTCTATAATGAAGAAGATAGTCATATGCTGCTGATCGTAGATGGTCAGTTGTCATATTTGAAAGTTTGTCATTTCCAATCTTATTGTGCTGAGGAGTTGATAATATCATTAAAGTTTCTCACTTTTCTCATCATGCATGCTTCCATTATTTATATAATTATGCATTAATGGGTAGTTTGGTGATAAATATTGCATTTTTCTTGCATCAAATCATTAACATCCATAATTAGAATAATTAAGTCTCACCCTCATTCTTTGGTGCTTTCTCTTTCTTATAGGATTCTTACATATTGTTGCCATGTTTTTGTTGCAGACTGCTGACACACCAATGGCAGAACAAGACTTCTCGCCAGCTAGTCAGCCTGAGGCTGTAACAGAAGGCAATGACCCCTTGCCAGCTCCTCTGGCCATTGATGAAGAGTGCGAATCTATGGATTCCGCTTATTCAAATGATGGAGACTCTGCCTCTTTAAAGCCAGATAGCTCACAGTCACAGTCAGAGTCACAATCGCAGTTCCCAGTGCTATATCCTGCGTACTTTTCTCCTTTCTTCCCATTTCCTCTGCCTTATTGGTCAGGATACAGTCCGGAGCCCATCAAGAAGGAGGCAGTGCATGAGGTGCTAAAGCCTACTGCGGTACATTCTAAAAGCCCCATCAATGTTGATGAATTGGTTGGCATGTCTAAACTCAGTTTAGGGGACTCTATTGGTGAATCTGGCCCTTCCTCTCTTTCACTAAAACTCCTTGAGGGACCCTCTAGGCAGTCAGCTTTTCATGCAACTCCTTCATATGGTAATTCAGACATGAACGGCAATGCAATCCCTGCAGTTTAGGGCATCTTCTGCCAAGTTGACTATAGGCTAGCCCGGTAGTGTCACGATTATCTACAAATACAGGGCTCGCAAATTTGCTCTTATGTAGCCACAGGTCTCTGGTTGTGGGATAGCAGTATAGTTTTCTCTTCCTTCTTCACAGTGATTATTAACTTTGTTTCTTTTCTGGCAGGCGATAGCATCTAGGAATTATTTGAGTCTAAAACGTTATTTGACAAGTTGTTAATTACTTCTTGTGTTCTATATGGCATAGGCGTCATGAAGTTTATTCTACGGTATGGCATTTTACTGAGTTCGTTCCTTCTTTCTTTAATCTTTGGGATAAAATAAGAGATACTGAGTTTTTCTCCCTAAACCCAAGTTAATCAAGCATCCAAAGCACTGGCTCCTCTGAAGTTTAGCATAACTTAGGGAAGCTGCTGGGCCAAAAGATTAATAAACTGAAGACTAAAAAAATCATTACATATACTAAATGAAGGTTATGAGGCTAAGAACTAAGCTTTTGAGACTAACAATTTTTTTGCCAGTAAGCTTTTGAGAGAGTAAACGCTACTATTGAGCATGGAAACTATCGATCTTGGGAATGGGTTTTGTTCCTAGCCTTGTCTCTGAAGGGTGATCTTTTGGTAACCACCAAGAGCTCATCATCACCTCCGCCCTGGCTTGTCTTGGTTTTGATGTGACGTCTTGAAGAATTGAAGCTTGCAGTCTCCGTCACAAACGATCATGTCAAAAATTTGAATCTTTGACATGGAACTGAGACTGGGAAACTACCATAAGAAGAATGATAAACAAGGACCATATAAAAATAGTAATATTAAATTAATTTTTTTAAATACTAATGTTTTTATATTTCAAGACTCATTTTATTATATTTTAATATTAAAGTTTTTAATTTAATACTAATATTTTTATAAAGTCTTTCGTTTTTTTTCTCTCTCGATGTTATAGGTCCTTAATTGATGGGAATTTCTATTATAAAACATGGAAGCCAAAATCTAATATAATATCTGACAATTAAAAAATTCTTACCTTTTTTAAGATAACAATCTCACTAAAATTATTTTTTATCATAATTCAATAGAAATTCTCACGCTTCAGTGCAATTTTGTTTAAAATTATCTTCTCTCAAATATTATTAGTAAAATCAAGGACCTTTTTTTTTTAACCAAAAAATCAAGGACTTGGTTGTGAAAGATTGAATGTTACTACCTTCAACTTTGTTTTTAAAGAAGAAAACAAATATAAGGACTAGCTTGCACGTTATGTGTTACTGTGATTTTTATAGAACCACTCTTAAAGTGAGAAGTTTTATATGTTCTAATATAAACTAATTTTTTCAAAGCATGATCTCCATCACCTCGTATTAAGAGAAATCTTTAACAATACCTAGAGACAAAAAGGAAAGTGACTCTAATAAAAAAAAAGGAATAAAATTTAAGTTCAAAATATTGACTTAATAACAATTAAGTCTAAAAAAATAAAAAAAAAGAGTTGCATATATTATTAATTAAAAAATAATTATACATTGACAGTTATTTTATTTAAAATTTTGAATCCATTATTTGTAATTAAAATGTTTTCTTTTCGTCGTATATCGTGGCCGTGATCGAAACTATGGGCACAATAAGGAGGGTAATAGAAAGGCAGGTAGCTTTTCTCCACTTCATGCCAAATACTAAGCTTCTACGACCAGAAAGGTTGGTTCGATTATTTGAACCCCCGTGTAATCAAAAGCGACAGCGAAATCCGCGTAATCACAACAAAGCCGATAGACGAATTAAAGTAGGAGGCTGTAGCTTTAAGAAAATAAGAAGAGAAACGACTGAAAATCCATTCCAATTTCTCTATTATTACAAGTTCGTACGAAAAGCTCGGATCTGCGAAGAGTCGCCGCTGCAGCCTTGTCATCAGAGATCAAGACTCGAGCTTTCCCACCAAACCTCTATGCACCGCTACCTATGGATCAATCATATCATAATAAATATAAAATTCAACCATTATATCACAGCAACGGACCTGTCCGTACAGTTGAGATATTTATTTTCACAGTAAAATCAATGAATTAATAATTAATTATATAAATTAATAATTAACTTCTATATTTCTACGTTGTCATTTAATTTGGCCGATTATCTTGGTGTCGGTCTTCAACCCAAGCTGAGTTATAAAAGCTTTGGGTTTCGATTGTAAGAAGGCAGTGTTAGAGGTTGTGTTAGTTTCGTTCCCGAGAATGGAAGGTGTTGATTTCTTGGCTTCCGAGAGGAACAAAGCTCAATTCGATGTCGAAGGGATGAAAATCGTTTGGGCTGGTTCTCGTGAAGCTTTTGAAGTTTCTGATCGAATGTCTCGCCTTGTTGCCAGCGATCCGGTAAATTTTCCTTACACTGTTAGTTGTTACTTTTCTTTTGAAAAACTTCCTCAGAATAATTTGCATATCCTTTTTTCTCTTTATTTTACGATTTAGTGGACGATTTTTCCTTTTCACGAATTGATTTATCGTTGCTGGTGATTTGGGCGCAATATAATGTGCATCCAACGTGTCCATACTTGGACAAATTGTGATTTTTTTGAAAATAAATAAATAAATATTTTTGCTTTATTAAAAGAAGAAATTCTGATTCTCGATTTGAAATTTGCTTGCGATGTTCAGCGCTTTCGCTTCTTCCGGTTCCTCGAAGTTTAAATTGAAGATTTTGAACTATTAAACTCAATGTATCTCCCAACGAACCTGCTTTATTTAGCCTTTCTTTTTGTAGGTTGTGTCTCCCAATAAGAACCAAATCATTGTTGGCGACAAGCCTTATGAAAAGTCACTAGCTAGTTTAAGAATCACACACTACTGTACAGCACCAGGATGAAAAGTAGTTTGATTTTGCTTCATGTTTTTCTTCCTTGTATTTGTATAGGAATAGGACATCACTATGACTTCTGCTTGCACCTATAACCTTGATTGCTTGTCTGTCTCTAGGTATTCAGAAAGGATAATAGGCCCATGCTTGGCAGAAAAGAATTGTTTAAGAACACTTTGAGGAAAGCGGCTCATGCATGGAAGAGGATAATTGAGCTTCGCCTCACTGGTGAGCCTGTTGATCTTTTTGTCGTTTGCATTTGGTTTCCAAACTTGTTATGTTCTTCTAAGGAAGGCAATTTGTTGCCCATTGCAATTTCTATTTATCATTCTTTATAACCATGTAAGTTGTATTCTTGCAGAAGAGGAAGCTTCAAGACTTAGATTCTATGTGGATGAACCTGCATTTACGGATCTTCACTGGGTAAAATTCAATTTATTTTCCTGTTGGCATTCCTTTTTTCCATACTCTATCTATCCTCAAAGAAATACGTAGGTCAAAGGGACAATGTGAGGTTGTATTTGTACTAGTTTAAGGATTTCACATAATATATTGACCTCTTTTTCACTTATGATGTACATTTGAGGTCACTTCAACTACTTCTATTAAATTTTGGGTTATTTATATTATCTCGCAGGGAATGTTTATCCCAGCTATAAAGGGGCAAGGAACGGAGGAGCAGCAGCAACAATGGTTGCCTTTGGCTTATAAGATGCAAATAATTGGTTGCTATGCCCAAACTGAACTTGGTCATGGATCCAATGTTCAAGGGCTTGAAACAACTGCAACCTTTGATCCTCAAACAGATGAATTTGTGATAAATAGCCCCACACTAACTTCCAGCAAAGTGAGTAAACATGATAGTGACTGAGGAGAACTTTTACCAGTCATTTAGGAAGTGTATGATTTAAGATTCTATAAACTTATTATAATGCTACTGGATGCACTCATAAGTACAATAAGGAAAAGATATAATATTTCATTCATTCACTGTGTGCACTGGTTATTTAGGCTATTTGTCTAACATGTTATATTTTGGATAGTTATAGGATTTTGTCATCACTCCTTCCCCCCCTGATTTTTATGCAGTGGTGGCCTGGTGGATTGGGTAAAGTTTCCACTCATGCTGCTGTCTATGCCCGTCTAATCACTGATGGTCAAGACCAAGGAGTGCATGGTAATCGACATATTTGAATGATAAGTTTCTGGTGTTAGATTTATATTGCTAATAATTAACTGAGCTTGCAATATAAAGGTTTCATAGTCCAGCTGAGGAGCTTGGACGATCACTTGCCCCTTCCGGGCATAACTATTGGTGATATTGGAATGAAATTTGGAAATGGTGCATACAACTCGATGGATAATGGGGTTCTAAGATTTGATAATGTAAGAATTCCAAGGAATCAAATGTTGATGAGGTTAGTTCTTTTTATATCTTATTTTTGTCTGTGAATCCACTATTGGTAGACAGATAATTGTAAATTCCTCATTTAAAAATATATATTTTTTGAGAGCATCGCTCTGCTGCCTGGTCTTACAATATGTTTCCAGTATAAGAAGATTGTCTGGTGATTGTTAAATACCTGAGTATACAAAATCCTGAAAATGTTTAATTTTTAATTGATATATATATATATATATATATTATTCAGTACAATTTGATACTTTTTGAATTGACCAGGGTTTTACAGGTTACAAGAGAAGGAAAATGTGTCCAATCTAATGTTCCACGGCAATTAGTTTATGGTACAATGGTATATGTGAGACAATCCATTGTGTCTGATGCATCATGTGCTTTGTCACGAGCAGTTTGCATTGCTACAAGATATAGTGCTGTTCGAAGACAGTTTGGCTCACATAATGGAGGTCTTGAAACACAGGTCAGATTTTGAACTTTCTAATATCATTAGGTTGTTGGGCATTTACGTCATATGGAGTATAGTTTAATACTTCTATATTAGTTTCATCATAATTTTTTTAAGCACCAATGAGGGTGCCGAACCTAGGTTCACGGGATCAAATTATAAAATGAACTGTTTTTTTTCCCCTCTTATGAAGTTGCTCCTTATTGTTGGCTGTGTATTTCTATATCTCATTTGCCTAGGTTCCTGGAAATCTTGCTTTCCTCTAATGTATTATATTCTAATTTTCTGCAATTAGTTAGTAGTAGTAGTAGTAGTAGTAGTAGTAGTAGTAGTAGTAGTAGTAGTAGTAGTAGTAGTAGTAACAATGGCAAGGCTGATGTAGTTCCCACAGATCTTTTACATGGACGAATGCATGATATATAAACATTGGGTGGTCAGGTTTTGTAAGATCACTGGTTGGGTTGGTAATGCCTTTGTTTTTGTATCTTTGTCCATTCTATTATTTGCGGGTCTTATTCTTTACTACTTGTTTCCTTATAGGTGATTGATTACAAAA